GTATGAAAGTCCTTCGAAGTTGCTGGTAATCTTCCGGTTCCATTACAGCTTTCAACCAAATTGGCAAATACTTTTGACGGAAAAACTGAAAAAAAAAATCGTTTTTAGGGCACAAAGACCTTGGTACCTGAAAGGAATTAATCAATTGCAGCGCCTGGGTCGACCCTGGAAGCCTAAATGGCGAAGGCGTGATAGATTAAAGCATGAAAGAACGGTATAAAAAGGTAAGAGTGAGATAAGACGTTTCGGTCCATTAAATCATATACGTCTTAACTCAACACTGCGACTGGACCTTGTCAGTATGACAATTTGTCAAAAAGCATTTGAAAACCAAGTAATAAACTGTCAGCAAAAGCGCAAGTGTTAAGTTTTAGTTTTGCCTTTTTACTTTTCGTCGAAATGTTTATCCTATTTTGTTCGGATTAACTTTACATTCTTCTTTTCAAATTATTCCATAATTTTTGAGTTCTTCTACGTCGTCGAGATGTGATCGCGCGTGGGATGTATCTCAGCACATGCCCATTCCCCATCCCTCATCTGTCTGGTTCTGATTCCAGGATTTTCAAAATATACACCAAGTTCTTGACCGGTCAAACCTTACAGCATTAAATTCTCCGCTGCTTCAACCGCAGCTAGAACATCACAATAATAGGTTTTTCCAATATTTCGTAACCAAAACATCACAATAATACGTTTATTTTTTCTTCTCTGTGATATCATCAACGATTTTTGAAATTTTCAAATTTTCAAAACTTCCAAATTTCCGAAATTTTCGATTTTTTTTTTTTTTAAAAACGAAAAAAGAATAAAAAGAAAAACGCCAATTCATTCGTGTTATCATTGGTAGAAGCTACTGGTCACCTAGTGGTCAGCTTGATGCTGATGACCATTCAATCCTATGCGCCTTAATTTTAATGCAAATTTCCTGGTTGCCAACACTGTCTTAAATTTAGAACATGGCAAAAATCCAGGGACCGTATTTCCAAATACGTCGCAAATCCAGAAATGAAAAAAAAAAAACATTCGAAGGATGGCAAGTCTCGACGCCAACTTAATAAATTAAAAATTTTCTCATGATGGTAAGAAGGAGGCTGCA